CAGACGCTGACTGCACGTAAGAGACACCGACGGCCAGAGGGCACTTGTGTAGAGAAAAGTAGATTTGAGCAAAGTATCCGAATGTGGATGTACGGATCTGGTGCGAGCCAGAGTTGATTGGTCAATATGGAATGTGAGAAGCTGGAGAGGGAAGAAGAAGTATCTCCGTAATGCGTGCGGAACCAGGTATTATCCTTCTTCAGTATCACCTAATAACCCTGATTTTCTGTGAATCCATAATTTTTTTTACTGTTTTACGGTGAACGCATAATTTGCTATTTTCCAGGCTCCACAAATTGAGTATGAATCTGATCCTCACAGTTGCACTTTGAAGCGTGTATCTGAAGCTGAAGAATTAATCCTCTCATATTTTGGTTGGAAGCATTAACAAGGTTGTTGACCTGAGCCCTCTCTCATTGTTTCAAAAGTATTCATGTGAAAGTTATCTGGCAAAAGTCGACGGAGCTTATCATATCGCAGAGAAATTGGTTTATCTGGAAACCCAGATTTTGTCATCCCGAAAAAATCCTCCACATTCATCAGGCTTCAAAACACTCAAGGTAATCGGTGATTTCCTGTGACGAACTAGTAGTAAGGAATTTCTCAAGATTATTGAATTCCACAGTGACGTCAATATGTCATAGTTATTTGTAATAGTAGTATTTGTCAGCGACGGAATCACAGGAAATCAACCAACAACATAGAAAAGGATGGAATTAAGAATCTGCATTTGTCAGGATTAATTGTAATTCATATAATAAATATTAACCAAAAAGCAATAAGTATTTAAACAATAGAGTAATAGAAATTGTCAGTCATCACTTGTGCAAAATAAGCAACTCCGGACAAACTATAGTTAATTTAGCTCATTTCACTCATAATGTTACCAATATAAAATTTTCCTAACTGATGAATTAAAATGTTGAAGTATATACACCATCTTGTTAAGTGTGAATTCGCTAACGTCGATAGAAATGCAAATGACTCAGACTGAGAACATGGAATTCATCTGACTAGTAGATATTAGTTAAATATTTAAATAATAAAATTGTGTTTCTGGAGACGAACAATGACAGAATATGACACGAAAACAGTTTGTGTTTGACTTATGCTTAATTGCAATCCAGTTTTCATACGAAATAGTCTATCTAACCTGCATAGATGCACCCTACATTTGGTGGAAACTACTTCCGACTATCTGACTCGACGCACATGAATGAGGTTAAATTACTAACCAGCTTTTCATCTCACAAGAGACCAAACGGCACAGACTGACATGCAATTACCAGTAGGTAAATAGTCATAAATGCAGTGAAAATAATACAGAGACGCAGTGTATATGTTAGGGAATCTCAGATGAGCTAAAATTCATTTAAATCCCACATTCGTTTAATCATCCGGTTATATTCATTGATCAACACAAGAATTCACACACACACACACAGTTTCGCTAAGTTTTCAATTCAAATTAGAGATGAAAGAAGAAGCATATAACCAGAGGACAAGCGTCAGTCAATAGGTGACATGCAAGCATTGCAACACTGTGATGTTTAAATATCACCTAGGATGAAAGAGAAAATTAATCACAAAGTTAGTTAAAATATCAAAGTAGGCATGAACTTTAAGGATAGATCTCCGAGGAGGGATTTTGTGAACAATTATTGAGCGACGATCTTTTCCTTACTGAATGCCTGAGTTGTCATGTTTCCACTATCGTCCATAAGAAACACCTGCACTGTATATCTGAATATGAAGTTGACTGATTGGACTTCGGATGAGTTTATCACTTATCTCTCCTGATAAGTTTGCCAAGGAGATGAAACCAGCAATAATCTTCACTCATTACGTGTGTGACTAGTCGCCACCACAATTAGTGACAATCATTACTACTAATGAAACTACTGAAACTACCATTACTCTGCCACATCCTGATAGTTTTAATTGTGTAAAGTACACTTTTAAAATATTCAGCATACAAACTATTCAATTAGAAGTTACCGGTTAAATCTTTATCAGCTTTAATTACAACAATGTTGTTTATGAGAATGTGGAATGTGTAATCGTACGACTATAGTGTTTAGTATATAACAGGCCAACAGCTAAAAGCTAATTATAATCACTGATCACCAGTATACGTATTATGAGTGAGTAATTCTTCAAATCTCTTTCACCTTCACACCATTCAGTTGTGCTTAATCAGAGAAGTATACAGCCTGATTTATTATTTACAGAAAGTACTTTTTTTTATTATCTAGGTCACATTCCTGTGTATTTTGTAGATGTTCAGATATCACACAAACATTTCCATTAACTTCAGTTCACACTTCACTTTGCTTCTCTTCAACACAATTAGCATCACGTTGTCCAAAGACAGTGTAGAGAAGTGGATGATCACACTGAATCACATTGAAATATCAGCGGAGATGTCTGTGAGATATTGAGATAGTATGTGATGCACTGATGTAGCTATTCACGTCACATGCTCTCAGCAAGAACAGTGAGTCAACACACACAATGGAAACATTGCTCGCAGTTTTTCATTCACAGTGTTTGAATACACTTCAATAAATTTCGTGAGATAATCGTCACACTGAGTCCTGGATACAGTTGTTCCTCTTCTGTAATTTACGTACCAGTTTAATGCGCGTGTATGTGATATTACGAGGTATGTGAATTGACTGGTTAGGAACACGTATTCAAGGAGACATTGTTTGCGTAGATATGTAGATAAATTTTCAGTCACTGACAAAATAACCTCTCTCATGATCGATTATTTTGACAAACAATATTATCTCACAATATTATACTCCCTGCGTAGCAACCAAAGTGATGAAACATAAATGATCCCTTTGAAATCTCCCTGAATCAACCAGGGGACCACAGATTTGAGAATATTTTGTCATCAATGTAAGATGAAGAAATGAATAGGACGGTGTGCCAGTGGACGATGATATGATGAGAGTTGAGTAACGTCAGAGTGGTAATGAGTGGACTGTTCGTGGATGGAATATTCAGAGATATTACAAGGACACCAAATCATAGTGAATGAAATAATCTCAATCGTGTACTCAAAGTATAGAGTAGGTAATAGATTTAGAGATGCGAGTCGCCATAGTAGATTCAAAGGAAACATCATCCATCTTGTAGAGTGTGGTCGCTCAAAATTTGAAGACCGACGATCGCCTTGACAACACCAGTATCACGCCCTGTATTCCTGAGGTATTTCCTTAGTTATCGGAAGTGTTTGTTTGTTTGTCTTTGAATGTCTCCTATGTTTCAGTAGTGGATTTTCCTGGGAGTTGTTGGTCGCTTTCCTCACGACCCACCTATGAGTCTGTCGATCGTTCGTGTCCAATGTTTCACAGATTATTACAATAGCCTCCAGCTGGTGTGGAGCTGCTGCATACTTCCACCAGCCTTAATTTTCCATGTAATATATCTGAATGAAGACCTGGTCGATATATATTTGACGGAACACTGATGTAAGCAGTATATTCTGAAAATTTACAAACACCATTCTTACACTTATTTGAGTCGTCTGACAAAATTTCTGCTTGATGCGTGTTGTGTCATATATCAGTGCATCTTCAGGGAAACTATGTTCCAGGTTCTATTTTCTTCATCTTCCAACTTCACTTGAACTGTTCGGGTTACTACCCTTAAACTATTAAAGTTTTTCTGCCTTATTCACATGGAACAGGTTAAGTGACAGTCATTGTACAACTAGTGAGGCAATTTTCCAATGTAATCCAAGTGAATGTCTATTACACTTCGTTATCCGATGCTTCGAAAGTAACTCCACACTCTGCAAGATATTTTAATGTGGCAAATATTCACAGACATCATTTGTGATGGTGATAATTTGCCAAAGGGTTGTCATTTCCAAAAATACTTCTGAATGAAGTGCTTAAGAAAATGAATACTGAAGCAAATTAACCCGATAATTGAACACTGCATTCACTCAGCACAGAATTGTGTAATGAGACTAACTTGTTGTATAAGGGAGGTGATGAAGATTCCTGGCCAACACCACCAACAGCTACAACAACAAAAACAGACAACAATCAACCAGCATAAATGGGACGAACCTGAAAGAAACAACCTCCTTTACTTACCTGGGAAGCGTCGTTTCAACTACAGGCGGACAGAACTGACGAGGATATCAAAGCCAGAATCGGAAAAGCAAGGCAGGCTTTCATTACTCTTAAGTCTGTGTGGAGGTCAACAGCACTCAGCATCAAAAATAAGGTCCGGATTTTCAAATCCAATGTAAAGTCAATGCTTCTATACGGATCAGAGACTTGGCGAGTCATAAAGAGCATCTCAAACAAACTTCAAACCTTCATTAACAACTGTCTCCGCTCAATACTCAAGATCAGATGGCCAGAAAAGATCAGAAACAGGGATCTCTGGGAGCGAACCAACCAGGAACCGATTGTGAAACAAATAGGCAGAAAGAAATGGAGATGGATTGGCCATACGCTGAGGAAACCATCGAGTGACATCACTAGACAAGCCATTTCTCGAGTGGAACCCGAAAGGGAGGCGGCGAGTTGGTCGTCCAAGGGTGACTTGGAGGAGGTCATGCGAGGAGGAGATGAAAGCGTGTGGACAGACTTGGAGCAGGGTGAAAAAGTTGGCATAAAACCGAAGGCAATGGAGGTACGCAGCTGTGGCCCTATGTTCCTCTAGGAACTAAAGGATAAAATAATAATAAGGGAGAATATCCATTTCGGATTGAAACCAAGAATATTGCATTGATGCAGAACACCCACTCAGTTACTCACTCAATCACTCACCCACGTACTCACTCACTCACGTACTCACTCAATCATCCACCAACAATTACCACACTGATCTATTTTGGCAAATGAGAAACAAAAATTAGCACTACTATTTTTATCAACCAACAAACTAATTACAACAGTTTTAACGACAACCGAGAATAGTATAAATTTGGAAAGTGTAGCCAGACAAAAGAAACAAAGGAAGGAGAGAATATGTTCAGCTTAATGTACACTCACATATCTGTGATAACGCTGCTGGTATTTTCCGCCATCAACAAAGGTGAGTGAGTATATGTTAAAATGCCTATGTGTATTTCTGACTAAATATATATTCAAATTTTTCAGTTCTATGCCATGATGAATATTCTTGTTCTAGCATATTAGCATAATGCAAGACTATTCCATGATTGTATTTCTGAAAGCAAGCTGATTGCGTGCCTTCAACATCCCATTCACTATCGTCTCATGACATCACTTTCCTTCGTTAATGAATAATAATTCTACTTTAATGATCTGTTAATCGTGATATGGCGTAAATATGCCATTCTATATACTCTCAGAGACGTGTTGAATACTCCAACTGAGATATTCTGCCAACTAGCCTGTTACAGATCCGTAATCAAGGATATGAAATACTTGAATGGTTATTCAGGCGTGTGAAATGAAGAGATGCTTATTGATCTTATTCACGCGTTATTAAGTTTCGGTTTGTATAATAATGGCTGTTTTCTTTTCACTTTGTCTATTTTCAAGGCGAATCGACTACTTTAGACTACGTTGAAAAGTTGCTCTCAAAGTCTCGAGGTAAGACGATTGACTTCATATGGATATATATAACTGCTCTTGTGTCATGCTACACAAGCTTTTGTGTAGAAACTGCTCCTCCATGCTTCGTGACATTCTGTTGTTGCGTCCAAACATCCGTCTCTTCTAATTTATTCAAAATAATTCTCGATTTCTACTTCACATAGATGAATTACCCGGATCAGCCCAGTCGATTATTGATAATGAAGCAGAGATTAAAAAACTTCGAGGTAAATAATTATTTCGTGTGATTGTTAATTGATCACTTGATCAACTCGATTTCTGTCTGCATCTCGTGTTCACATGAGATGTTTGTTATAATTTTATGGAGGAGATTTTTCCCATAGGCTGTTTCGTGTAAATGTTTTTACCTTACAATATTGACAATATGTATATGGAGTCATTTCTTGACATGAGACTTATTCAAGTAAGGATATCAAATCTCAATGTCAAGTAAAAAAAAGTGATGGACTCATCCAGATCAACACGCATATACCTGATTTTTTTAAATTCACTTCATATTTATTCACATATTCGCTCTAATCGACAAAAAAAAACACTTCACACATTCACGTACATGACATGACACTCTGTTGTGTCAAAAAAGGAATATACAAAACAGTGTAGGAATGCTTCAATAATGGTCAATTTACTAAATGTTTTATACATAGTGAATGTTGAATTTTACACAGGTGTCCGGTTTCACTTCTCTCTTTTACTAGATAAGATTAAAAATGAAGCTGCAGAAATAGACAACAACAACAACGTTGACAACTGTGAGTTAACACGTTTTGAGTGTTCTGATGACTAACAAACTCTTTTTAGATATCAAATGTTGGAGACAGAATTATGAAATATTCACTGGACAAGATTTATTTAAGGGTGAGTTCCAGGATTTATTCCAACTATGTACTATATACTACTTCTATTCACATGAGTTTGAGTTATTGTTGTTGTATAAAAGTATTCAACATTTTGATTAGAGACGACAAAGTTGCAACCAGAACACTTTATTGAAATCCTTCAACAATGCATCTACACTGTCAGTCTTGACACATTGTCATGCATTGAAGTTGTTGAGGTGGGTGGATACGTGTCTAAAGGAATTTTCACTTCTGCTTCCTTGAAGACGTTATCAAACTGCTTTTAGTCTACAACCCAGTTTGTCGCACAAATTATCTGATCAATTCGATATTTGATCCAGGTGGTCAAAACTCCAAAGTCATGCATTAAATAAAAGCGTTCAGACGCCGATTGCCAGCAGTAAGCAAATCATGTTAACTAGCCATTCCCCGATGGAATGTAGAATTCACGGAATCAATGGAGATATTCATTCCAAAGTTGAGTGGAAACAGAGTTATTCGAAAAAAAAACCTTTTGAAGAGAATCACTTGGATCTTTAGATGTAATAATAGGAGTAGTAAATTTCATGGGTATCGGGGGTATTGTAAGCTGGTTAGTTTAAATACACTGCGATAAACAGTAGAAGTGATTGGTGAATTATTCCCGGGCATACCATAGCGTAGCGTTAGGCAGTTGTATAGTAATTCCATGTAAATAAATTTCACTGATGAATGCTGCATTAGCAATTATTCTTTTACAGAGACTCTTAATGTCAGTTATCACTTTTTGTTTGTCTTTTCAGATGTCGTATGGAGACTTACAGACCCATCTGAAGAATATGGTAAATTGAATTTATTTCAGATGACTTTATGTGTATAGGTGTTATCAATTTGTCTGCAACCACTTTATAATTTGAGAGTTGAGAAAGATTCCAGAGTTAAAATCTTTTCCTTAAATCTGTTTGACAGGGAAAAACCACATGGAATTCGACAAGAAATCACCTGCCCAAAATGTGTTATTAGTGTTATTCATTGGCTGGCATGTATACACCTGATGCAATAAACAGACTTTAATACGCATGTCATGCGATAAGAAACTACTGCATTCAAGCGTTGAACTTATCCTTCGGCATCATGTAGTCAATTCATATTCGACATGAATAATGCTCACCCTTTTGTTTATCAGACCATCAGACCATCTCTCCATACTCTCCGAGATCAATCGACCCAAAATACTTGCTCAACTGTGAATTCAACAATTTATCACAATTAATACTACCCACTGATAGTCCATCTTCCACCACAAACAATGCTCATAGAAATTTTCATAATATATTTCACTGGACATTTTATGCAAAACATTCATCAGTGTGTGTGTGTGTCACTGCACAACGTGAAACCAGAGAAATAGAAGAAGACAATTACCAGTGTCTATATAATCGCTTCAGAATATATATGTGATAAGAGCCTCTGAACCACTCAGAACCATTCAGAAGATAAATTCATACACACTGTTTTTATATGAGCTTATATGTTGTTTGAAATACATTTTCACATAGGTCCTTACAGCCAGGATTATCCTCTTCAACAATGTGTCCAGAAACAGGTTGATAAATACTCAGGTAAACAGTTTTGCTTGGCATTCTCTTTTCTTTCCACTTTTCGAATGCACATTACTCCCTAATCTTACCTGTTTCGTCGGTGTCAATTTCAGTTTTGAACTATCTCTCGATAATTTCAGGTACAAACCAGATGGTTAGGAGTTGAGATTTGCTACTCAAAAGATAATTCAACTCATATTGATTTGTGCGGTGTTTTTCTATTCGCCAGGTCTGTAGTTGCACGAGTATTTGATACTATAATGATAAGTCCAATGAATGTTCGCCTTCACATTGTTTTAATCTCCTTGTCTCTCTCTCTCTGTTTCTTCATCAGCTCAGATACCATCAGTAGAAGCAGTCAACTGTGAACTGTATAGGCCGTCAGCAGACGAAGAAGGTAATCGATTACTGATAACTTGCACTTGAAATAAATTCTGTAAGATTACTGCATCGGAAGATGTTGGAAGTGAATTTCTGAATTTCATCAGGTTCATTTTCGAAAGTCAAATGTATTCTCAAAGGCGTTTGTTTCACAGGACTTACCCACTAGTCGATCTGAGAGAACTGTCAGTGAATTGGTAGTTGAAATACCAATGTTTAGTATGCAATGTCAAGTGTGATTTCCGATTGCCTTTCTTTCAAAGTCAGGTTCACACATTACATTTGTAAAGGGCAACCCCGTGAAATCTGGAGTGTGTGTTGTTGAGACTGCAGCTGATGTAATTTAAACACCTCTGTACATTATTGACATATAAGATAGAGGTGTCAGTCCAACAATAATGATGAAGTCGAAGTTATGAGATTTCAACACATGAAGATAAATAACAGACAGGCGTAGGGCTTGCTTGAAGGTGTTTTGACTGTCTTCATAGTCGTTCAATGATCGGCTTTCAAGTGAATGAACACGTAGACGAGATAGTCGTCTGCTCGGACAACAACAGCAACACATTATACCAAATACACCAATTATTTCACAGTATTCTGAATGATCGATCACCTTCCACTAATTGATTCTGTGATATTCAGTTTTTTAATCCAGATATTATCTTACAAATTTCAGACATTGAGAAATTGCACCAGTACATGGAATATTCATATCACTTCAGAAAGAATTTCGGTAGAACCATTTGTAAGTTGTTACAGTTTTCTTCATAGGTTTTAAACACTCCATATATGTGTCAAGTTATATTCACAAAAGAAAATGACAAAGAGTTACCTTTTACTCCATGTTATCAGCAATCGATCGTATCATGCGCATAATTCACGCGGTCATTACCTGATTATTGTTCGCTTAACAATGGTTATGTATTTACAACTGAAATCAATATTATATATTTATCTTAAAATATTAAGGTTCTCCGAGAACTAGTTGTTGACACACAGCGTTTAGTAGTATATAGGTCTATTCTCTGAAGAATGTCTGTCAATCACACAAATCTACGATAATCTGAAATGTCCATTAACGGATCACTTTTCACATCGAAATCGTTAAAATGTCTGAAGGCCACCCTTCAATTACATAGAAGCTGAAGCACATACACGCATAGCTACTACTCTATTGCGCGGCGTGAAAATGCACAAAGAAGCAATTCGATCAGTATGAGTGTTTGCATGACAATCGAGTAAATTTAGGAGACAGTGATGAAAGGTACTCCATCGAACAACCTGTGTACACAAAAACGTATTCGATGCATTTTAATACTAACGATTAGATAAATATCATTTATTGTAGGTCTAGGAATTTACACGTTGATGAACAAGGCTTGCTTTCTTTTAACTAATATGCCGCCCTTTATTTTGCTCTTTCAATTTGAAGTGTTCAAGAGAATCTATGAGGCTACCATCGAGAGGTTGAAACGTAAGATTTACCTACTATCTCATAAGAACTATCCACATTTTATCTTCCGAAATTGACTGATAAGATCAACTACCATCCTGTCTTTATATATAAATATGTATATCTGAAATTTAAGTCTTGTTCATGCGAATACAGTTTAACTAACATTTTTAAACACCGCGGACAAGAGTTGTGTCTTTTGGTGGACCACCAATTCAATCATGTCTTATAATAACATGACGTATGAAATTATATCTAGTATTTTGAAGAGGCTGTCTACTATCACCAATGATCTTCCTGATTGCAATTGATTGGATAATGCGACAGACAACGGCAACCAACGAGGGAACAGGCATAAAATGGACTGACACAAAAGACTTGGAGGATCTGGATTTCGCCGATGATATATGTCTGATTTCCCATAAACTGGAAGATATGCAAGTAAAAAGTAACAAGTTGGCAGAAGAAGCATCAAAGATAGGACTTCACGTGAACATAGATAAAACAGAGATAATGAAGATTCCTAGCCAACATCAACAGCAACAACAACAACAGACAACAATAAGCATAAATGGGAAGAACCTGAAAGAAACAACCTCCTTCACCTACCTGGGAAGCATCGTCTCAACTACAGGCGGAACTGACGAGGATATCAAAGCCAGAATCGGAAAAGCAAGGCAGGCTTTCATTACTCTTAAGTCTGTGTGGAGGTCAACAGCACTCAGCATCAAAAATAAGATCCGGATTTTCAACTCCAATGTGAAGTCAGTGCTACTATACGGATCAGAGACTTGGCAAGTCATAAAGAGAATCTCAAACAAACTTCAAACCTTCATTAACAACTGTCTCCGCTCAATACTCAAGATCAGATGGCCGGTCGGAAAAGATCAGCAACAGGGGTCTCTGGGAGCGAAGCAATCAGGAACCGATTGTGAAACAAATAGGCAGAAAGAAATGGAGATGGATTGGCCAAACGCTGAGGAAACCATCAAGTGACATCACTAGACAAGCCATTTCTCGAGTGGAACCCGAAAGGGAGGCGGCGAGTTGGTCGTCCAAGGGTGACTTGGAGGAGGTCATGCGAGGAGGAGATGAAAGCATGTGGACAGACCTGGAGCAGGGTGAAAAAGTTGTCAGAAAACCGAAGTCAATGGAGGTGCGCAGCTGAAGCCCTATGTTCCTCTAGGAACTAAAGGATACAATAATAATAATAATAATTTTGAAGAGGATCAGGCAGTGTATCACAGACTGGGCATTGAACAAAACCAAACCGACGACTTCTTGTCACACTTTCCCAACGCACCCTCACCCGCAATCACACCAACACTCACACCTACTCACATTAGTGCGAATAAATACATTTGAGATATTTGAAGTATATTGAATGCATCAGGATGATTGTGTGTCACTGACGCTTTATCATTCTGGGTATGATATGATGCTCACAATAGGTATTTTATGTTCTTCAAGTCACATAGTACACACCGATAGTCAGAACTTGTCGATCCCTTCGTGTCTCTTCCAATACTCACAACATTCAGTGTTGTTTGCTTTCGTATGAAATCAATAATGCTCATCTTATTTTATTTTCTCTACAGAAAAGGGAAGAAGAAACTAGAGAAGAATGCGAATATATACGACACCTGATTCCATGGGAAACGTGTATTCTGAACATTATTGAAATGTATTGATTTGCAGTGGATTTCATGAACACTTGTAACTAAATAACTCATTTTCCTAATAACGCTCACTGCCTGTCTTCTAAATACAATTTTATCATTCAAATATTTGACTTATTCCAACTGATGATTAGATGGAATTGGTGTTCTCAGTCTGAGTCGTTTGCCTACCTGTCGACGTTAACTAATTCACACTTGACATGATGATGTGTGTATACTTGAGCGTTTCAGTTCATCATCACTTAGGAAGATTTCCAGTTAATAGCTGTGTCGTTGAAATTAGCCAAGTGAATTGCATTGTATCAGGAGTGTCAACATTGCTAATTGGTCATCTCAATGATCATAATGTCTGGAAGAATTGGAATTAGATTCGTTTGAACAAGATGTGATTGATGAATAGGCTGCCATGCAATTTGATATCAACGCCTCTACACTAGGAATCCAAGCATTTGTCGGCAGTGATCGTGGTCGTAGTATTAAGGTGGCATGGTTTTAGGTGGAATTGGCGATACCAGTTACGCCAGTTATGTATTCACTAACCTCGAGATTTCTGTAATTTCAAGGCATAAAAAACACTAACTGCAGGATGACACTACAGGTGATACTTGCACTAACAGAAATTATCTGTATTGCGAAATAGACGTCTCATTTGGAAATTACCATATGAATATTTACAAAAACAAAACGAGTGATTTAACGAGGACACTCTTTGCAAACAGTTGAGTATCATGCTGCATAATCGTATAAATACATGTGCGTATAGTAATTAACTAAGGTAGTTCTGACCTTGTCGAGTAAGTGTAAGTGAATGTAGGAAGACAATAGACACAAACAGATTCCCAGTCTAGATAATGAATGTATGAATTATCGATTCGCTTTGTGTGCATGTGATGCACACTGATAATAAAATTTATGTCGACAGTTGTCGTTGTTAATGGGAGGAGTGGTTGTTGCTATTGTCGCTATTGTCCTTGTCACAGCCTCATTACACCCCAACGCCAGCGCTTATTCCTATTCAAACAATAGAAGCAGAGTTTCCTGTGTCATATAGTTTCATCGTGGAAAGTAGTTCTTTCCATCTACTACACTTTTTGAGTTATTTGAATACTATGGAAGTGAATAAGTTTTCCTGATGTCATGCAAACTGTTGTTAATCATTTGCATTGCTTGGTAGGCTCTATAATCTTGATTTCCTTTCACCTCGAATTTCAAGTGATGTTTCCGTCTTCCTATGGAAGCTTCTCACACCTCAGTAGTTGTTCAGTAGTTGTCTGTTCTTATCTCATATCTATGGGATAACGACTCGCAAAGCGGTCGCACTATGTCATGAATTGGCAGAAGTTAGAGTTCATGCCCTGGCCATTGCATCGCGTCCCTATGGGTTAATTGTCAACGAGGTCGCCTTATAAGCAGAAGCTTCTATATTTCTAACCCTGGCGTGCCAACGATGAGTCTCAAGCTAGGACGAAACAGCTGTGCAATACTCCCAGCTTGCTTTCCAATGGTTCTCTAACTGATATATGCTCATGATGAAATCTTCCAACCGAAAGATCCCATTTCTCGGCACACAGATAGATACACAATCCAGCAGTGATTCGTTGTTATTTCTTTCTGTTGGCGATCAAGGTATACGTGAATGTGAGACAATCATCGCTTATTTCCTTCAAAGTTAATGGTGTCTTTTCCCTTCGCCAACGCTGAACACTTCAGCAGCAGATTTAGCCTTTGCATGTATAATTATATTAACTGAACACCAATGAGATTATTAAGACCTGAACATTTTATATGGAAATCGATTCCTTGACATTCAAATGGGCTGTGTATAAACACATCCATAGTGAAGTAATCGCCTCGATAGCATTACTCATAATTATGAACGAATTTATTGGTGAACGTGAGATTCATTCTATACTGATTTACCCTGTGGCGCATTTATTTCCAATTAAGATATCTGGTCGATTCAGTCGACTGGAAAGCCATACAAACAGAATTTGTCTTCCGTCCCACTTATCTGTCGGATATTTATGAAAATTGTGAAGAAGAAAGCAGCATGTAGACTAGTTGACTTCACCCTGGTGAATGCAGCGAATTCACCAATCACCTAATCACTTTACAGATGATCAGTAACACACTGATTGATATGGGAGTGTTAGTTGGTAGATCGTCACAATTCCAATGGACATTATACAGAGGGTGACTAAGTGTATATCTGCAGTAATGGCAGATTAAGTGAAGCTCCTCTCAGTTATGTAAAGCTTGAAACAACTAGTTACATTCATTCATCACCACATGGATTCGTATTCAGTTTCATTTGATTTCTAAGTGAAATTAGAGATGAAAGAAAAAGCACAGCCAAATGATAAGGAAGAGTCGGTAGTTGACAGGCAAGCGTTGCAATCCAGTGATGTGTAAATATCATCCAGGAGGATAGAGAAAAATAATCACAAAGTTATGTGAAATATAAAAGTAAGGAGGAGAATTTCAGATACAGAGTTGAGGAGGGATTCCCCGAACAATCATTGAGTGACAATATTCTCCTAACTGTATGTCTGAGTTATGAAGTTTTCACTGTCTTCCAAGAAAACGCTTGAACCGTATATCTGAATATGAAATTGACTGAATAGACTTTCGATCAGTTCACCGTCTCTCCTGATAAGATTAAAGAGGAGCTGAGGAACCAGCACTAATCTTCCCTCATATCCGTGCGGATGCTTGTCACCATAACAATGACAATCATGACTATTTTGGTTTGATTACAGCTTGATTCCACACTGTACTTTTGGAAGAATTATGGAATTTTCAGCATGGATATTGGTAGCCCAAATTGTGCAGGCCAACCATAGATATCAGGTGTGCGTCGGCAAGAGATCGAATCTCGGATCATGTGCATGATCGACGAGAGTCCTAACCACTACTGAGAATACTGACACTAAAACTACTCCACTACATCCCGACAGTTTCAATTGTGTGAAGTAGACTTTTAAAATATTCAGCATACAAACTATTCAATTAGAAGTTACCGGTTAAATCTTTATCAGCTTTAATTACAACAATGTTGTTTATGAGAATATGGAATGTGTAATCGTACGACTATAGTGTTTAGTATATAACAGGCCAACAGCTAAAAGCTAATTATAATCACTGATCACCAGTATACGTATGAGAGAGTAATTCTTCAAATCTCTTTCACCTTCACACCATTCAGTTGTGCTTAATCAGATAAGTATACAGCCTGATTTATTATTTACAGAAAGTACTTTTTTATTATCTAGGTCACATTCCTGTGTATTTTGTAGATGTTCAGATATCACACAATCATTTCCATTAACTTCAGTTCACACTTCACTTTGCTTGTCTTCAACACAATTAGCATCGAGTTGTCCAAAGACAGTGTAGAGAAGTGGATGATCACACTGAATCACATTGAAATATCAGCGGAGATGTCTGTGAGATATTGAGATAGTATGTGGTGCACTGATGTAGCTATTCACGTCACATGCTCTCAGCAAGAACAGTTAGTCAACACACAATCACAACATCACTCACAGTTTTTTACGCATTGTCTTTGAATACACTTCAACACCTTTCGTGAGATAATCATCACGCTGATTTCTGGATACAGTTGTTCCTCTTCTGTAATTTACGTACCAGTTTAATGCGCGTGTATGTGATATTACGAGGTATGTGGAGTGACTGGTTAGGAACACGTATTCAAGGAGACATTGTTTGCGTAGATATGTAGATAAATGTTTCAGTCACTGACAGGATAACCTCTCTCTCATGATTGACTATTATGAGACAGAATATCGTCTCCCATGAATTATGCCAAAAAAATACAATCGGTTTCGGTTATTTTATCTAAGCAGGTGACAATTAGTAAGTCACTTTGGATTTACCGAATGCAAAAACAGTCAAGAACATTGGGTGTTAATGAAGCTAGTGGAATAACAAAGTTGATGAGTTGTCACAAACTGTTGTTAGAAATAAGTTGCGTTATACTGTGAATGGTTTGATGATTGAGTTGTACTTGAAATACACTTGTGAACGAGGCAGAGAATACGAAATTACGTAAGAGCTCTAGATGAGTTCAAGAATTATAAACAATTAAAGAACAGGCAAACAAGCAAAATAAAGTCATCAAAAATCAACACAGTTGTTACCATGGTAATAGAAGTGGTTGAGTAATTCTCTTTAGTAAGCACAGCTCCGGTTTTTCTATGTGAATGGCCCGAGCTTTAGCGATACAAAGAAAACGACACTGTATTGCCCTTGGTAGGTTATTCTTGACTCTGTCGATTACTTTAAATGAGGGGCCTCCTTTTCAGTATTGATTGTTTTTACGGAAAAGGGTTGATCGCCTCACTCCAAATCCTCCCCACCTTCCAGATGGTAATGCGTCGGCTGGGAGTTCGGGCTCAGATTACATGCATGGTTGGCTTACATTCTGCCTGTGAAACACCGACACACATCAGTGCACTTTATCCATGAAATGCAATCCCCCAATTCTGTATATATATACGTGATAATAACATTAGGACTTCTACACAGTCCATCTTACATATTCAGGCCTTGTATTGGAGCTATGGCTCATTGTATTTGCGTTTAATTTCCACTCACTGGGTCAAGCATTTAAACTTCGCTTTATTTAACGAGGTTTTGGCAGTCGGTTGTGTCACTAGCACCTACACAACAGGTGTTGCTCACTGCCAACTTCATGCAAATGCAAAGGGTTGTGTAACGTCTTTGAAGCATTCGTTTCCAACCCCTTACTATCCACAAACCAAAAGGCTTCAAAGTAGTCTCTCTGTTTTCATGCCTATATTCTAATTGATCCAGCAGTGTGAGGAATATACTCAATTCCTAGAAAATTGAGTGCTGGATAGCGGCTGACTCCACTTAGAGGGATTAGACAATCAAAACCCGAAGAAGTCAGAAAATC